TACTACTGAGGTTTTTTTGGCTTTTTTTTTTTTTTTTTACTTGATGTTTCATAAGGGAGTGAAAATCAGAACCTCCTTCACATTAGCAAATACTAACTAGGAACGAATGATGTTTGAAAACAGAAGCTACATTGGAATGCCTTTTTCTGAGGAGATGGTGCAGAGGGTTTCTGAGCTATACTTTATAATGATAAAACTACCATGTATCAGACTGAACTACTGATGTTTTTTCAAACAAACCCGAGTTGTGACTAAATACAGAGGACAATATTTGTGCTGGTCATTAACATAGGCAGATTAAAAAAATTCAACACCAACGAATTATAGAAGAAAAGTTCTATGTGTGTCCACATTGCCTGTACACTGTGGATTACTTGAAAGTAATCTTTGCAATTTGAGCCTCTCTAAAAGAAATGAGTTAGGTGGTCAAGTCTCATGGGTGGGATTACAGAATTAATCAGAAGTTGACATTATGGCCTTCTCAGTGGCTGATTATACATATTCATTTGTTTATTCACGGCACATCTTTCATTTTCATTGCATTCTGGCCACTGACTATGAATCAGTTGACACAATTTTCAGATCATTTTCTTTCACTGATTTTACTGACGGAAAATACGCTGCTAAATGGGTTAGCTAATGTAATTCTAAGTACTTCAAGTCAACTTCATACTCACTGGTATTATACACTGTGCTAAAATAGAACATTAAAGCACTGGCAGACTCAAACTGCTGATACTATAGAGTGATACAGGACTTTTCCTGGTAATACCACCTGCCATTTCCTTTTTCAGAACATGGTTTCCTGTCAATCTAATTCTTATCGGGCCAGTTCCTGATTAAAAGACAAATAAACCCCGCGATAGTTAACATCTTCAGTGATAAATACATTCACTAAATCAGATTTCTAATTATAAATGGATTTCTAATATACAATGTTTAATGACTATCTTTCCACCCACATGTCATTTTTCTTATCTATTATAACATAACTGAATTCAAATGAAAAGATTTAGCTTGTCTGTACTGAGTAAAAAGGCAGGATTTACAGTCTTTAGTATGTTGCCCATCTCATTTCACATAACTCAGCCAAGCTTTTGTTCCATCCTTAGAAAAATTCTAGACATAAATAAATGACACACTTCCCTTCATGTCCAGATTAATGCTATGTTTCATTAACATCATTTCCTACTCCAGATGGACATTCCTTTTTATTTCTAGGTGTTTATACCTTGAAGACAATGTTCACATGTATGATTTTTTTATCCTAGCCTCTATAATTATCTCAGAAACCTTCTAAGTTCCTTTGACTTTAAGAAGTCTTGTGTACTGAAAATTAATTAGAAATAATTGCAGTAATAAATATAACTACTTCCTTGTGCTGTAAAGGAAAACGTTTATGAGCTCTCTGCCTGGTTATATCAACAGCAACACACATCCAATTTTCAGTACATTCACAGTATATAGTTCTCCTCTCTTCCCCTCCATTTTCCATCTTAGTTTTTCTGCAGACTTTCCTCACAATGGCAATCCACTGGGCCTAATTCATCTCCCAGTGCATTTCATTAGATCTGTTACTGTCTTCGGCAGCCTACTTAGCCAGGAAGTCCAAAGCCCAAAGCTGTGACATTAATCAGATACTGTGAGGCCCTGGTTCTGGGGACTGAATTATTGATGTACAATTTTTTATGATGCCTCATTGAAATCCACATAGGAGTATCAGTGTCATACTTATTTATGAAGTCCTCATAAGAATTTTAAAGTGTCCGGGAAAACATGCAGCAATTCCTGTCTCTTAGTGGGAGCAGATTCTTTAGGAAAAAGTATGCTCACATCACATAATTTCTGCAAATACTTACATTTGGAAGGCTAGGATCTGCCGCCTATACTATCTGTTGGATTGCTCAAAATTAAAAGTCTGCTTATATTTATGTAAATATTGATTTATATTTCCTAAAGAGAATCTTAATAAAAGAATTCTGAAAGCCACTCACTCAGTACATACATACTTCAACAACAGACAGCTGCTCTCATCTGAAGTTGTCTGTTTATTCTTATTTTAGTGATGAACTGACTGAAGGAGAAGAGCTGCGGTATTATATGAAGTTGGACTGCAGTGAAGGCTTTGGGCAAGATTTGAAGTCAAAACATGCTTTTTACCATTTTTTTCTGCAACCCTTTATGTATCAATTCCTTGTGAAAATTCACAGTATTCAATGGAGTTCTTTAAGATTAGTAGGTGGAGTGGTTCCCCTTTTTGATATGTTTTTCATGTTAGTATTTCTTATTTCAATTAGCTCTTGTTACTTTTTTTGATTGTCATAAGATAAAAATACGTTGTACTTGTAGCAAGTGTGAGACTTAACAAGGACTTCCCACTGTGTAACTGCATTGATCATCAGACTTTAGATTCTAATTATGCAACTTCTGAAGCATTAAGGTCCACATCTAACAATTACATGATATTAAGGAGAAATCTTTCTATTTAAGCTGCTGTGAAGCTATGTACATCTGGATTAACTTTCCTGAACATGCATGCAGGAACAAACAGCGTACATTTCTGTTTCAGTAGAACTGTACTGTGTAGTTTAAGACCACCAAAGATGATTCTTATTTTCATGACCGGGTAAATGGACTGAGTAACTGGCAGGTTAGTTTGGGGATGTTAAAACCAGATGATTGCGTAATCCATCTCTTAAAAATCTGACGCTTGTCCTTTATTATGGATGTTAAGAGCACAATATCAACCAAAAGTAACGAGAGGAACTGCACAGACTTTACTTTAGGAAAGGCAGAAAGTGAAAATGAGAGAACTTCAAGCAGTAATTGTTTTTATAGGGATCAAGGTTTTGATTTGAAAGTCAAAGCAGCAATAGTCAAAGAGTAATTGTAAGATAATAATAGCAAAAGTTGATCTTTATATATTTTTTGATACTACTTTCCACATACTGTCATTCTTAGAGACAGATCACAAAAGACTTGTAGACTTCTTGTTTTTTGTAAATCATCAGTGTATTTCAAGGCTAAAGACATTTTATCATGCTCAGAAGCTTGAAAGGGGCAGTTAAAGACAAAAAACCGCCACCAACAAAAAAACCCAAACCAAAAACCAGATTTTACTGCAGTGTCTTTAATCCGCACAGCCTTTAAAAACAGTAGTAAAGTTGCTTGTGTAGTATTCATGACTATTTCCATAATGCATGGTGAAACTGGTAAAATGTTTAAGGAATTCTCCATATTAAACAAAGCAGAAGTGGTAAATTTTTACACAAATAAACAATACTGTTTAAGGGTTTTTTTTGTTGTTGTTTTGTTTTGAAATTACATAGGAACACTTATCCAAAATGCTGCTGGCTTCACATAATTGTTTGAAATTTTGAAGCTTTGGATAATGATGAGCATAGTTTCCTCTAAAGCACAGATTTTGGTATATGTGTACAATAATGGCTTGGTTTGCTTATGTTCTGTTTGGATTTTTATTACATATGCAGAATATAAACTAGATTAGCTAGTATTGAATGATAGTGTGCTAAGTCTTAATGTTACAGAGAGATATGCAGTTTGATGTAGAACTCTTGCATTCCTCAGTAATTCTGTAAGATGTTTATCTAAACTGTGGCACATGTAGTAATATTGAGGGAAGTTTCATGTTAGGCTTTGAGTTATAACCTAAAACAAGAGTTCAAGGTGAAGTCTCATGGAAGCAAGAAGCCCCCAGAATGAAAACAAATGAGCTACAAACCAAAAAGGGTAAGAAAACAAATATCCCACCTCCTGGCTGCTATCTGAACATGTGGAATATGGAGTGTTCAGACATCCTTAATTTTCCATCTGCTGGAGCTGTTCTACTGTTTAATACTTTTCTAATCATGAGTAGAACGGGGTGAGAGAGAAAGGGATCTCCATGTATATGGATCTCTATTTACATGGATCTCTATTTACACGGATCCTGGATGGATAATTTATAGTACTCCAAAAAATGAAATTTAACTTTAAATTCATCTCAGTGAAGATTAGTGCAATATGAAGGTGAATTGTGCTATTGATATACGCACAAACAAGACGGTTTAAACTTTTCTGAGCATTAATGTTAGGGTGAGATAATGCCATAACAGTTACAAAGTTCCACTAATTAAAATGCCAGAATTTTTATTCGCTTTCTTTATCAAGAAAGGACGCTATCTTTCTGTGATATGCATAACCTGAGATACATAAAGGTACAGTGTATGTTACGTTGTTACCTTGCCCCAGGCAATTTCAGCATCCAAATTGCTAGGCATCCCCTGCACAGCTGATCTCTTTGTCAATTCTGCATCTGTCGCTGCAAGCCACTCTGTCATAGCATTAATTTCTTTTCGTAGCTTCCGGGACAATTTCAAGCATTTCTCTAACTCTTGCTTCTTTTCTGTCACCTGCAGAAAGAAAACATGTGTTTCTTAACTCTTCAGTCAAACAAGTTTAATGATTTTTATATACCTTTTTCATATGTCGTTTTTCTATAAAACCTTAGCTTGCAATTTTACAAGCCAAGCTGCACTTTTAATATAGTTATGTCTTGCCCTAGTTCTCTCAATATCTGTAATTTTGCTGCTAGAATGCAAACACCTATAAGAAAAAATGTGCATAAAGACTCATTGAGTCTGAACTAGCAGCAGACCTCTGCAAACCAACTCCTCCATTCTGAAGTCATGCATAGCAAACTAATTTGGAACAACTGAATTAACAGGCTTTCCTTGAGACACAAAATAGATGTCAAAACCCTTCAGAGAGAACATTTTCATATAGATGGCCATACAGTGATATTGAATGCTCAAGGTTTGCTCAATGTAGCTACATCACATAGAAGAAAAAAATTCTCTGCCAAAGAAATACCAACATCTTGAAACACAGGAGTCACTGAATGATGTCAAACTAAGACAGCACAGTTAACTTTAAGTTTTAAATTTCTCAGCATATTATTTTGTTGTCTTTTTAATACTCTTTAAATGTAGGGGGTTTGCATAGGAATTTGTAATTTTTTTCTTTTTTCAAAACAAACTGAAAAATAAATTAAAAATCAGCAGAAATGTGTCTCATTAGTAAATCCATCCCATGGTTTAATAACATTTATTTGGGTCACTGCAGAACAACTCATACAGTTTGTATTACATTCTATGATGCACGCTTTACTAAGCTTTCCTGACCCCCTCCCACTTCCTTATCAAAAATGTGTCTGCCACTTTAGTGTGATGCACATTGCTCCCAGCATGCAGTCAGACTCACAGCCATCCTGCAATAGGATGTTTTGGTTATACAATGATTTTACATTCTTTCATACAGAGGGGGAAAACCAAGGTGTCCTCAAGTGTCCTCATGTGATTCTGTTTGGCACTGACTAAAGATTAGGCATATCTGTTCTAAATAAATCAACAGAAGAAAGTTGAAACACACATTTTCTAGAGAGCTTCACAAGCATTTACTATCAGTAGGCTACATTACAGACTTTTTGAAGAAAGCGCAGTTTGTGCACTGCAATCCCAAGATTCTTTTCCACAGACCTCCATGGTCCATCATAGTCCCCTTTCAAATTCTTTCTCCTTATATGCAGTCTGTTTTCTCATGTCCAGTTTCCTTAGAGCATCAACCTTTGTTCACATTTCCCTGAAACCTCTCACCCAGGTTAAGTCCCAGGCCACATCCCTATGGAACTGATTCCCAGTCCCTTAGATGGGAGTCTTCACCACAGACTTATTTGCAGCACCTGTCTGCTTTCTTCCACACTTTCAGACCATCCTAAGTCTTACCCTCTACCACTAGCTTCCAATCTTCTAGATCCCCATATTCACCTCTTTACATTCACAGCTTTTTGGTTAGTCTCTTCTGAATGTTTTGGATGTGAAGTACTGTGAACAATCCCTGGTTTATTTGTTAAGTTCTTTTAAGCATATTACACGCTACCTGGAAGGAAGGCTGAGTATTTATGTTGTCTTGACTGTCTTACAGTACTTTTTGGTGTAACCTGGAGGAACAGGGGAAAATAATCCTCCTTGCAAGCCCCTGAGCATATTCAGAGAGAGAAGGAAGGTTCCACATAGGCAGAAGAGTAAATGAAGAGATCTCAGATAGACATTAGGCAACTGGTGGTTAGAAAATACAAATTAATAAATTATGTTGCGCTGAAGTTTAAAAAAGGTCATGAAAGAAGGCGGATTAAAAGTGTTCCGTAGGTCACTAATATTTAAAAGAAATTACTAATTACCTTGCATGTCAATTAATAATCAAGTGATATTGTAGCCACCGACTTCTATTTAAGTATTTTTAAATAGGAAAAAATTGTCTACGGTACTGTCAGATATCCAAAACTTGTATCGATAGGTACTAAAACTATTTTGGGCTTTGACACTGTTTGAGTACAAGAAGCGGTGCAATGATCAAATTGATTCCTAGCTCTACTACCAAGGAGAGTTTGAAGTTTTAAAATGTAATAGGGTGCCATGAGGATAGGTACATGGCTTTTGTTATCCCTGAGTAAACAGATCAGATTTTCCCAGGGAATAAGCAATAAAATGTCCCTGATCGTATATTATCACTCTATAGAGGCTTAATACTAAATTCTCAGAACATTTCTTCTTCACTGAATATGCTTTATGTGCTTTCTTGTATGCCAGCTTTAGTAAATGAGACCTCAGAACTTGCAGTCAGGCCAAGAGGTAAGTCCCTTGGAAGGACCATAAAAATCAGCTTTTTAGGGCTCCATTCACACATGGATCCAGGAATCCACACAAATTTTCACCTCCTCTTCTGATGAGTATTAACAGTCGCTGCAAATAACTATTTGCAGATCCTTAGCAGCAATACAAAGCAAAGTGCACTACCCTAAGTGTGATTGCCTGTGTAAGAATCCTAAACACCTGATATACTCTAAAATGAAGTTCCTGATACGTGCCCAAACACAGAAAGAGTATTTGCATAACTATATACATCTCTAAATTCTGTATATATTATCAATAATGTTACACTATTTCCACGTACATTATATGTATCCAGAGGTTACTGATTAATCAGTTTCGGTTTGTACTTCAATGTAAAGATGTATTTCTAAAGAAAAATAGGAAACAGTGCCCTCTAAAGGCCTTCTGTTTCATGCTGTGATACCAAACATCCTACCTCCATAAATTTTTTCTCTATATTTTAAAGATATTTTAGCTATGCTAAATAGTTTACTCACAAGAATCCTTGGATGTAATAAATAAAAATAAAATGAGAAAAACAGATATTTGAATCAAAAGAAAGGTATTTTACAGCCTTTTATTCTTACAGCCAAAAATCCTGTGCAGCAGTGCTACTGTGAGGGAAGACCTGACCTTGTAAGTAATAGCCCCTACTGCACGCAATGCCCTTAGGAGAGCAGCAAGAACATTATTACTGCCACTTTCTTTTAGAGTCCAGCTCCCTGTTCTGATGAATTACCACAGGGAGATTTGACACAAGGATGCTACAGACCCTACCTCACAGCCACTCACAACTAGCAAACTCCCTAAGCTTTAATATAGTGGTGTGTGTCTACATATGCATATGTGCCTGTGTCAGAGAAAGAGAGAATAAGGGCAAGTGAATGCATAAGTAAGCACAGGCATGGAATATTTATCATAAATGCAACCACTACACCATGATATTCAAATGACATTTTGCTTTCTTGTAAATTCATCTCAAACTTGTTTACAATGAGGCCACTACTACAGTTTCAAAATTATCGATTATGCTTTTAAAGAATATTAGGTGAAAAATGAGGGGCAAAACTTGGTGTTCTGAACAGACTACACTCATTCCTGGACCACAGAGGGGTTTAAGGTCTGATACTATCTAAGCAATTAGTAGTAATCACAGGTATTTATATTCATACGTGTATATGCTAAAACCAAAAGAAACAAACAAAAAAATCCCCACACCTTCCCATTCTTCTTAAAGGGAAGAACTCCTAGGTTCACAGCATCTCAAGTTATGATACCTAAAATATATAGAAAAACTACAGTAAGTTGTGTATGAAATTATTAGAAATTACCATAATTTTCCTGTCCATCTGAGAGCACAACACTTCAGCACATGTTTAAATTAAGCCATTCCAGCATGCTTCAGAATGTGCTTAAGACTGTTTCAAATATGGGGGTCCTTCTGAAGCAGTACATATGAAATCATGCAGTAGAGTCTACACTTAAAGATGTGTTTTTTACTCAGCCTATACATTCAGTCCTCAGACTTACTATTAGTTATAACTATTATCAGTTTTTTTCTTAAAAAGACAGATTTTGACTCAATGCAATCAATTAGGGCTGATGATGGCTAACTGATTCCTTTAGTTCTGTATCTCTGGGCTTTTGTGACTGTCTCCAAAACTGTTAACTACCATGCTATATAAAAGTAACTGTGAGAAATTACATCTAGGACAACAAAGCTAAACACAGCACTGCAGATTTTTGAGACCCATTAAGTTGCAACATGGTTCACTTCAGATCACTAATGGCTTCCTAATGGCACATTTTTATCCCTTCATTAGTTAAGAGAGGTTTCCTGTAACAATGGCACCTGTCTGCTGTTAAGTTAAACATAATGCAGGAATAAATGCTACAGTCCTTTCCAAAATAACGGAGAAACCAAATACATTGTCTAATCTCAGGTAATAGCTATCCACACCTTAATGAAGAAGACTCTTCAGTTTTCTTGACACTCATTAAGCGACTGATGCTATTAGAAAATAAATACCTTTATTTTCTAGCAAGAGAGAGAACTGGTTTAATTCAGGTTCCCAAATCAGTATTATCTCTGTCAAAAGTAATATTACTCTTACTGTTTTATTGTACTGTAGTCAGCGGGGCTTGATTATCAGTATGTGTTTAAACCACATACTGAACCTCAGTATTACCATGGGCTCATTTTCCTAGCTAGTAATAATTTATGGTTCTAATAATTTATAATCTGACAAAATAAAGTATTTGCACTCTGTCCTATTTCATATATGTGAAGTATATAAATTTTAGAAACCAATAGACAACTATGTCTGTCATTCACAATCTTCAGTCAGCCAGTTACAGCACCAAATTCACTTTTATCCTACAGTTTTTAGAAGGTCTGTGGATAGTTTTAATGAGGGCAAGAGGAATGAAACAGAATAATGAAGGATAGTTGTTAATTGAATTATTTGTGCGAAGTCTTCTTTAGGACAATGCCACAGCTCCTCTTCAGAGCTCAAAGGTCCTTGTGTTGTCCAAAACTGATGCTGCTATAGATGTCCATTATAAGGCCCGACTCTAACTGCGCTTTTATTTAGTGAACAGATTGTCTGAGAGCAGAAGTCTAGGTGATATATTACTGACTTGATCAGTAAACCATGAAAGGTTGCTTGAGATCTGCCAAGAAGGAAATTAGGGGAAAGGTAATTCTGGCATGGGGAGATAGTGACCACCGACTTGTGAACCCCCTACCACAATTACACCCCAGACTCAAACAGAAGACCAACTGAGCATGCTCATTAACTTAAACAGTAGGCAAAGAGATTTTAACGAATCATAGCACTGCATATGTCTTAGAGAATTAAATATGGTAATGAACGTGTGTATAAATAGATGCTGACCTGATGATTCAGTGTGCTAGCTTTGTGGAAAGCCACCTAGCACCCAAACGTGCGCAACTTTGTGAATAAACATTATGTCATCTCAGCGTGTGAAGACTGGCTTATTGCACACCGGGTAAACGAGCCCTATTTGGGACAACACTTGTAGAGGATTGTACCTCAGGAGGAGGCAACACACTCCATAGATAATGCAGACCCAGAATAAAAAGCCTTTAGGGTTTGACGCGCAATTTTTTTTTTCAATCACAGTCTTGTTAATATTGGTTAGTAGCTTGTCTTTCCTACTGTCTGTTTAGTTGACTTTTAGGAAAAATTGAGTAAACAAAAACATTCTCCTTTTGGGAAGTGTAACAGTATTTAACTGTATATGAATCGATAAAGAAACAGATCATGTATAGATGAAAAGTTTACACAAGGAATGAGAGTGCTTGGGAAATTAATAGGGATTGATTCTACATGGTTAATTATATATAAATAACTTATCACTGGCATCATAAGGTAAAAGTCTGCCACATGTTGAGAACTATTTGTTTTTTTCTGCAGGTGAAGCTGACTTATATAAAAGAATATTGAGAAAGTATTCAGGTAGTCCTCCTAATTATATGCTGACATTCACTAAGTGCTCAAACTGAGTACTGTACAGATATCAGATTTTTTTTTGTTTTTTAAAAGTTGTATTCCAAGGCAATACATTCCTCATTACAGAGCTCAAAGGATGATGATTCAGTTTTGCCCAACATGAAGAAATTTGATAATCCCTATGGAATGGAGGATGACAAATTACTAAATTCTAAACAAGGGTTTGCTGGTATCTGAGATGTATAACAACAGGACAGTTATTCCATATACTCATAACTAAAAAATAGTCTATGTGGCTTATATATTAAGATACCATGAAAAGGTAAGTCAGGGTTGTACATGACATTTAAACCAGGGAACAGTTATGACAACAACTGAACACATGTAGTTAAACTCAAGAGTGCAGAAGCAGCAAAGCAGAGTGGTATACAAATGCCTCCTGAGGAAAGCTGCAGTAGCAAGAGTTTTTGGTCAACAGATTTTTGAACAGCAACAAACGGAAATGATATACTTAAAGACCTGTACAGTCAGAGGCAGAAGGAAATCAGAAGGTAGAATTCTCTCTTTTATGAAGCAGCTCTTCAAGTAAAATGTGAAAAAATCACAAACAAAATCTAAGTATTTTTCTGACCTGAAGTGTTTTGAAACAAGTGACTGTTTGAGGCATTAAAATGAAACAACATCCCCCTCTGACCCTAAAACAATGAACTAGTAGGAAAAAAAAAATTAAAATACTAAGAAAGTGTAATTTTAAATTATAGGAAATAAATGAATTTTCTATTTTTCTAGAAGGTTATTTCTTCTCAGAGCAACTGAATAGCCATCCTGGTGACTGCCTCTGCCTCCATTCTTTCTGCTCCACTGTTTAGAAAATGGGAGGGTCTTGAAAGGAACGAATAAAAAACCCCATTTACTTACCATACCAAGATTATTCTTCACTTTGCCAGTTAAAAAGAGGGCATAGTTTTGTATTAAAAACACAGAACTTACCTTTGCACCCAATTCATTATATTGCAACTTCAAAGCTGTAAGTCTTTCATCCAGTTCTTTCGGGTTCTCTGTTTGCTGCTTTTGAACAATCTGCCTCCCAGTTTTTATCACTGTTTCCACTTCAGACTTCACCTCACTCAGGCTTTTATATAATTTCTAATCAAACAGAAATATGAAAGAAAAATACCACCATTAAAATATGTAAAACAGAAAAGACTATTGAAGGTATTATAAAGGCGCACCAGAAGTTTTTGCATTGTTTGCTGTATAAAAACCACCATCATGCAAGAGTCTGAGCACCTTCCACTCCCATTTGAAAGCTAAAGGAGTTGAGAGGTACCATGGTATGTGACCTAAGGATAGAGAAAACTCACCCTGAGCATGTATGTGCATTAAAAAAAAGTTTATGAGAAAACTTGATCATTTTCTAAATCAGATTTCAAATTAACAGATTCAGAACAGCCTATCGTTGCTAATATTGGCTTCAAAGACTTGTCACCAAAAACAATGGTAGAAATATTATAGATAAGAAAGTACACACCATTACTAATTTTTTAAGATACGACAAAGGCTGTTTTCAAACTGATTTAGATAATGCAGTACTTAAAACAACAACTGATGTCTTCTGTCAATTCATACAGCTTGTTGGATATATTTAAACTACAAATAGCCACTAAATTAATTTAAAAATCTGACAGCTTTTCATACTACTAAATCAAGAGACTGGTAGGATAGAGGATTTCCCCTACATTTACTAGGTGTAATACTGGTCAAAAAATCAAATAATTTTTAAAAAACTACATGAAAAAGTAATGTAACAATTCAAAATATATAATTTACTGCATTTTCCTGCACTATTTCAATGACTAAGCAAAAAGTGATAAAGAGCTGTTCAGTAAGCAATGGCATGCAAGCAATCTGTAGACACAATACATTTCCCTAATATTTCAAACGAGTGATACTAAGAAAAATGAAAGTATTCTTTCTTTCCATATGCAGAAAGTCAGTATCATCATCTAAATGTATGACTTGGTAACTCAAGACATTTAACAGCTACATAAATGCCCAGTTAACATTCATGCAAGCAGAGCAGAAACTGAACTTTTTTTTTTTTTTTTAAATCTAAGAATAAATTCTGCTATGGCATGGAAATTCCGCTGAACTCCAGAGTGGAAAAAGACTCCACAGAGATACAGAGTGTTCATTACCACACAGGTACATGAAGAATGGCAAACGTGAAGCTGTTGAGAAGGTTTATTGTGAGATGTCGGGTTGAATTCTGTGGTCCAGCATTTTGCCATCATGCATTGAAAAATTAACTTACTGTCCTGTACACTTAGACAGAACTGCAAAATAAATTACACTGTACTTTTTTAATCTGTAATTTTTTGAGGTTTACTTTTAGCAGCAGTATCTCCCACAATGTAAAATCTGTGTCTAGTGTGTCTGGACAGTAAAGATGACTTTTTTTCCAGCAGATATGACAACAAAAAAATCCCAAGTGCATTTTCTCCATAATCTAAAGTTAATTACCAAGCCAATTCTTAACATTATTTTATTTACTTAAAGGAAGTATTTATATAGTCCAACTGCTTTCTAGGTGCTTAATATGCCAAACACTTTCTTCATCACTGAAAACCTGTCAACAAATTAGGAAGCTGTTGTATGACGCACATTGGCTAACATCTGATGGGATACTATGACTAGGTTTTTTTAAACAGAAATGTCATGAGATTCTTTGTAGATAAAGATGCTCTAAAACCACTATAAGACTTCCATAGATTATGACAGGGCTGCAAAAGCTAGCTGCCGATGAAGGCAAAAAAACCCCCATCTTCAGGCATGTCATCGTTCCAGAAAAAAAAACAGCTGAAGACAAGGATCTGATTGTCCTGAGTTTTGCTTTTAAGTCTTCTTTTTACTCCCATCAAGCACACGGTGTTCATCTTTATCTTTACCTCCCTTCAACAGTAAAGGGGTAAGGATTACAGGGATATTAAAGGGATAAGTACAGATTCTCCTCATATTCTTTAGGACATATTCAGGTCATCTTTTGCCCTTGAACTGTAAGAAAATCACAGTATGCCATCTCATGGAAGCTGTAATCTATGGTTTTCCTTTATGTTTTGTGTTTCCTGGCTAGAACAGACTTGTGCACTGCAACATCTCTTTTGGTTACATCATGGAGTTCTATGACTGTAGGATATTGTGGAAAATAAAGCGAATCCAGGGAGATGAACTCATATGCAAGGTGGGAAGGGGGAATTAGAAAGGGATCCTGACTGGCCTTCACACATAGCGAAAGAGCATGACCATTCTTTGAAAGTTCACTGAAATGAGAATGTTTTGATTCTCCCCCCGCCCCCAATTTTGTGAGTAACTGATACTTTGTTTCTCATCCTGAATTCAGGACAACAATCTGTAATTTTTAGCTTTCTCCACATAAATCCATATTTTCACTCATTTAATTTTTCACTCATTTAATTAGCATCCCATGCTTCTGAGACGTCTTTGCTATGACAGAACAAGAGAACAACATATAGAAAGAAAAAGTTACTGTAAGACTGTTAGAACTATTTCACTGTGTTATTATATCCTGGGAAACTCTGAAATTGAATACAATTTTAAGTGTACAATGTCCTTCTAACCTCATTTGCAAACAAGAGAAGTAGGACAAGGAGGATCAAACCCTTCTCTCTATCCTCCTCTCCTTGAAAAAATCGAGCTTTAACTAAAAAGAGTCCTATAACTTTCATTGTGTAACTTTGCTCTTAAATATTTCTTAGAATCTTTTCTAACATCTCCCAAAGAAATATTGACATTGTCATTGAAAATACTTTAAATTTGAAAGGCAGAACAGGCAGGAAACAAATAGAAAGACAGAATCTTTAAATATTCACCATGCAATGATCCAGCTGTGACTGTACTACTTCCTGCTCAACACTCTTCATCTCCAACTTGGGCACCTGCAATTTCACTTCATCTAAAATTCTTTTACATTCTTGTAGGCGCTGTTCAAAGTTGGCTGGCTTCTGAAACAAGCGAAATTTCATGGAGACATCCTGCAGCTTTTTCTGAAAAGTAAGCATGGGTAAGTAGTAAATGTGAAATCAATTCAGCACTGAAGCCACATCTTAGACCCATTTCAGAATACTTGGAATCCATTAGCAATCAGTAGTTTCTTTTTTAAAGAATTTAAAACTTCTGGGGAGAACATGAGCAGCAGAGAATCTTGGTCTTCACAGGAGGAAAAAAAAATCTTATATCATCCAGGGCACTGGATGCAGCAGAGACAGTAAGCCCATATGCTCAAAGTGAAGAAAGGGAGTGTTTTCGTACTTTCCAATATGCAAAATGTTGGGGTGTGAGGAGTGAACAAGGTTTTATGGATTCTAGTCCCTCAAAGAAACCCAAATAAAGTGGCTGGGCAGTAAGTAGTTCTAGAACAAAACCTGAGATTTAGAGTATAAAATTAATTTCTATTTCAATTTAAAAAAGGATAACCTAGAGTAAAAGGAAAGTAATTTGAAGACAGAAAAATCTATGACAAGCATGGCTTCTAATCTCACAATTTTCACAATTTGTTATCTTTGTCCATTAATTATATTGCTTGCTTACATGATCCCTACCTCAGGGGGAGGAGAAATAATTAAAAATAAAGCAAAGAAAGGGCATTTTAATTATCTACTTGAAGAAGAACTAATTCATCTTTAGAAGTACAGAGCAAAGTACTAGTAGAATAAATTTTTCTACTGTTTGGGAAAAAAAAAAAGAATGTCACTAAGAAATGCGTAAGTAATTAAATAGGAACTCAGCATCTGCAAACACACTTTTGATTTTTTTTACCTTCAAATCCTGGACACTTTATGACACAATACAGTGCTGTCTGTCTTACACAAACTTGAGAAAAACTATAATAAGGAATAGAATTAGCTAATACATAGGCATTAGTAAAAATGCTTCCAACATCTATCAGATTTCTGTGAAGGAGGCAGGAATCATAAGCAGAAGACAATTCTGGGTAACAGAGAACTGTGCAGATTTCAGCAGTTCCTTCCAACAACTTTCCTCATTAAATACTCTTAATGAAATTAAGATCCAACGGGTTAAGAATTTTCCCTAGATAAATAAGTGAAAACTGAGTAAAAATAGGAAACAAAGGGTAGGAATAAGTGGTCTTATTTTTCTTCAGTGTGTTTGCATACACTAAATTCATACTTAATTAGTTTTTCATTTTCTTGTGACACTTCAACTTGATGAAGATCAAGTCTTGTGGGAAGCTTGCAATGTCACATCAGTATCTGTTACAATTTGTGTTGGTCAGTACATTAAAAATGATCTAGAAAAGAGAGAGAATGACAGTATTAATGGTAGAGAAAATTAAAGCCATCTGTGAAGAGTCACTGAAGGATTGCACAGTACTGAGGATCTGTAGGAAAAAAACAAGCAAATTATATGTAATTCATCCAAAAGTTAAGTAATCGTCACAAAAGAAACACTAAGCATGACATACGAGGGGGATCTAAATTATCTATTAGCACTCTTACTTGAGTTATAATAGATAACTATAACAGTTATATTATATACTTATATTTATCTCTGACAGTTTTAAGGAAATATCATCTCAATACTTAAAAGCAGCCAAACAAGCAAAGTGGGAATTTGGAATGATTAGGAACATAACGTTAGGTTAATGTTAGGTTAATGGTTGGACTGGATGATCTTAAAGGTCTTTTCCAACCTAAACGATGCTATGATTCTATGATAAAGAATAAAAAAGAAAATACCTGCCAGAGTATAGAAGTCATTGTATAAATCTATATTGTGCCTGAATAATATGTGCTGTTTTGATCACCTCGTCTCAAAAAACATACAAATAGAAAATGTGTAGAGAATAATGACAGGACAATCAAAGCTATATAATCTAAAGGTCTCAGTATGATTTAACATGCTAGTCAGCCTAGAAAAGATACAACTGAAGGGGATTAAAATTAGTGGTATGCAAAAGTTGACTAGCAAATAATTGTTAACTTTCTCAAAATTCATGAAGAAGTTGGCAGCAAGTTAAACTCTTACATGGGGAAACCAAAACGAACAAAAGGAAGGACTACTTCATATAGCATTCAGTTAAATTGTGTAACTAGCTGTTAAATGAAGTTGAGGATTCCAGCAATTTACAAGACTTCAGAAAGCATTTAGACATGAGCTTTTAAATACCTCTGACCCAGAAGTTGCTCAGCTGCAAATCACTGTGGAAGCATCACATACATTCACCTTACTGTACCTTGTCACTGTCTTCTGGCTAGTACTGAAGATATGATTTTGGACTAAATGGATCTTTGGCGAGAAGTAACATGAGCATTCTTAAATGCTAAAATGTGCAGCCAGCTGAATTTACTTCATACCAACAGCTGAAATGATGGCAATACTCAAACTTCATGGTCAGTTGGCAAACCTGGCTGGCCTAGATAAAGAGCATAGTAACAACTCATGGGAGAAAAGGAAAGCCCACAACTAAGTCAGTTTCATTCCTTTTTGATTTGAGGAAAATTTCTTTAGAAGCAAACGATCCGTAGTTATTCACAAGCAAAACTACAGGTAATTAAATATTTTTAGAGATTTAACATTCTTTTGTATTTTATTACATTAAATTATGTTAAAATATCACTAGGAATAAGTAATGCAGTAAGGGAAGGGAGTCAAATATCTTTTTACTGTGACAAGTGTGTTTACCTTAAAAGACAGATGAAAGTAATAAACAAGAATGTCATTTGTCTGCTGTATAGTTTCTTCCCACAAAGAATTTACTATTGAATTTCCAAAAATAGCCCTTCTTGAGAGAAGATTTCACTTTCATGTAACAATTCTTAGCCTAGTAGGACTAACTAGGTCTTAAATCACTATGGAAGAAATAGATTTTTATTTTGCTAATCAACCTTTTCCCCTTAAATTTAAAAATTAGAACCTCTCAACCTACAGTAATCCAAAAAGGTGGGATAAATCTGGTTACTTAACAGTTGTTTCACTATCTTATTGAAATTACTTATTTTCATAATTGTTTACTTTCTGTCTAGGTAATTCAACTAATATTAGAATAAATATATGTCAAATTAGAAATATTAGTTAGCACAAAAAAAAAAGAAGAAATGTATGCTGTATTTGTTTATAAATGAGAATGCTCTTCAGGAAAAAAGTAAGTAAAGACAAATCTTGTGAAATGTAATTTACTGCCGAAGGTACTGCACAATGATGGAAAAGAATTCAAGAGAGTTTACTGGCCTAAAATCAAATATAGTCATAAATATTTGGAACCAAGGGTTCAGCTTTTACCCTTTTTGGTAGTTGATATTTACATTATGCATGTACATTAGCTATTTTTTGTTCATATTTTATCTAATGCAAGCAAAACAGATTCTCAAAATGATCCCACCAATTTGTCAAAATTCAAACTGGTGCAGATGGTCATCTAGAGAAGCCTTTTGAAGAAAAAATATCTGCACAAAGATGGATTAAGAAAAAAAAAGGCACCTAGAAAGGGTAGTGCTCCCTTGCATGCTGCTGAATTTATAAACATTTAGATACAAAGTCACCCGATGCCTGCATTTCACTGATGAAATATGGGCAACATCACAGCTGCCATGGAGACCATCAGAAGGTGAGCTAGTGTGAAGGAAGACAGAAAAATAAGGAAACATAAATATTCTCAACAAAGCAAAGCTAGTCCTGAAGATAAGAGGAAACATTAAAAAAATGCAACTTGTTCATTTCAAATTGATTAACTGTTAAAAGGCCATTAATATTATCCATAACAAAAATATAAAACTGAAGGTAAGATACCTAGAAATATTTGACAGAGATGAAGAAAAAGATGGCCTTTTTCACTGTTAACACCGTAACAAAATTCTTTGTCTTTCCTAACGGATTTTGACAATTTGTTTTGCAGCCTGGGGAACTTTGGCACTAATGCCAAAACCAAAAGCAGCAAAACAGTCGAGAACCCATCACAGGTCAATGGGTAAAAATGTGTATTTTTCCTAAGTGTTAATTAAGTCTTCTTCAGTTTCCAACAGGTCTCTCTATGTCTATTAAGCTAGATGAAATAATGCAGTAGATAACTTTTTAAACCGATGCCTGCAATGCACTGCTCAGCATAGATTTGTCTTTCAAATGCAGTTCTACCAAATACTTCCAAATATTTTAAAATACTTTTAACTCTGAATATTTTCAAATACCTCAACAGGTATACCAAAAAGCCTCACTGTAGTTTTACTTCTTGCAACCGCAGCACATTCAAAACACCCCTCATATAGTGTCCCCACCAGTCAGTTACGTCAGCTCTGCGTACCATAGAACTGTTGCCAACTAGCTAGGAAGGCTGTAATGGAAAAATGAGCAGTAAGATGATATGGATGATATGCTTTATCCACTCTAATTTCCAGGCTAGAAAGGAGCAGCTAAAACAGAAGAGATACCCTCAGAACATTTCATACTATAGTAACAGTATTACTCATGCTGTTTGCATGAGTGAAGGGAAGATGGAGGAAATAAAATTTGCATACCTGTGCCACATCAATTTGGGAAAGGACTCTTTTGGCAGCATCTTTACCCCGGTTTCTTTTCTTCATTTCTTCCAAACTAACCTCATGGCTTGTTAATTCAGATTGTATTTTCTATTGGAAAAAAAAAAAAAAAAAGACATGAATAAGCAGGGTTTGATGAAAATATTTATGTTGTTAATATTATTTGGAACAGTTGATTTTAAAACATATTAAACAGAAGTACTACACTATATACAAGATCTTTAGAGGAAAGTATTCAAACAATTACTTGTTCACCACCCTGTAAATTATTCAGTTTAGTTTCTCTTGACCATTATAAAACCTTCTCCTGCTCAAACATATGTAACTCTGACAGTAATGACATAATCTTGCTAAGGAAATTGTGATTAAATTGTAGGCAAAAAAAATATAGATTTCTTTTATCTGAAGGAAAGCAACTATTATCATTGGGAAGAAAATTCAAAATTAATCATAGAAAAGAAAAATACAAATAGCAAAGTGATTTGCTTCACTTTCTTATTTCTTATTATTTCCACAGTATCATTAGTTGAGAGAAAACTGATCAAAGTATCCTGTATATATAAGAACATCTTCATCTCACAGAGCTGTATTATATCTAAAATAGTATATAATTTGTGGCATATTACTGACCAGAATCTGTGTTCAGTATCTGTAGATATCGTAAATGCATAATGACATATAGTTCATTAATACTCTAACTTAATCCATTTTCTAACACACAGTTCTGGTTATCACTTTCTGCAAAACCAGCATGCAATCAAATAATCACAAGAAAAATATCAGCCTTGTGGGTTCACCATAAATCAACCTTACACAAAACAATTAACTTAAGCAGCGCTGGCTAGTGCAATGTAATGGAAAAGAATTCCCATAATGTATATTGATGCAAGATAATTTAGGGAGATTCACATGTTTATGTCTAAATTGTTAGAAAATGAGAAACTGTTATTAGCAGTGTTACTAGACAAGTACTACTGAGAACGATTACCCTATGAAATAAAGACAAGGTATGTCCCCATCAGGAAAGGTATTTGAGGCCATTGTTCCTGCATGAAAATGTGATTTTAGATTTAATCTTTCTTTCCTATGGTATACAAGCATTTCTCAGATACACTAGAGACGAGCTATAAGTTCAAATATATGCACATGCATTTATCTTATACTACAGTAACTTGTAAAATGTGAAAACTGTGCAGTTCAAAAAAGACTATAAAGAATTTTCCAAATGAAGAAAAGGGGTTTTTAAATTACAATTTGATCCTTTAAAGTTTGATTATAAGAAAAAGTAAATATCTAGGTATTTTTAATAACATGTTATTATATAATATTATATGTTATTATATAATAACGTATGATATATGTTAATATCATATGTTAAGTACAAAGCTCTCTACACTGTATGTTGTCTACTTTATAGGGGTATTATATGGTTATAATGACTTATATAACATTATCATGTCTTGTATATAACAATACTAAAAGCAGTTTTTCACAATTTATGTTGGAAATGTATTAAAGTAAATTTTAAGAGAAAAAGACTTACAAAATACAGAAAATTATTAAGTAATTGCTAAATTTACTTGAGAAAATATATTTACAAGTCTAAACTATCTAGTGTTATTCAGAGAAAAAAAAAATTGTCTGAAGCAAAGCATTTGCAAAAGCAAAATGACCGACAGAAAGCTGTCAATTTAGATGAAATTTTTCATTTAAAATTATCATAATTGTTCATTTCTATTTTTCATATTGAGTATTCTGAGTTCTCCTTGTCAAGGCTATTTACTGAATGGCCAGTATTTGGAACCAATAACAGAATTTTTCTAGAGATTATATTTTAGTTTTGAGAAAACAAAGGCGATCAATTAAAAGGACAATGCAATACAAGGAGAGAAAGTTTATTAAATAGTTTATTTTGAAGTATTTCTTTTCTTCTTGTCTAAGTTTAAAGTTCCCCCCTTGAAGAGTACAAGAATTGTAACAAGATTATCTTCTGTGTTTGTGCAGCACACAGACGAAATTGGTGGTGATGACTGCGTTAGTGGGCTTCTGAAGCCAAATCATTCTTGGATGTCTTGGAAGTCAGAACTGTATATACAAGGATGAAGCAAGCCTGCATGTTAGAAAAATACACTGTATCACATCCAATATTTCAACTCTTTGCTTCTGCGCCTCATCAATTAACCCATTTTTGGTTGTATTTTCCAGTTTACTTTGTTGAACCTGAGGCACTCTGGAAAGCATATAATTGAACAGTTCTTATCTGAATAGGTCAGAACAGCACAGTACAGGTAAGAGTAGTGTTTAAGCAATTAGGTAGTGTGGGACATTGCACGGAGATTGCTCTATCTTCTTTTTTTTTTTTTAATTGCTCTGCAGGAGAGCTTTCGTCTAATGTTTGTTCTCTCTAATTCTGTATTTTGATGTCAGAGTAGGTGATAAAGAGTAAAAGCTTTGCAGCAAAAACTGCCTTAATTTAATTTCTAGAACATCACAATGTAAAGTAGTGTATGTAACTAAAAAATATCACTGTGCTTAAATTATTCTGTCCTACAGGTTAAGGATTTTCATTTTCCATCACTGGCATTTTTTTCAGGAAGTTTATTAATTTGTAATATATATATATATAAACTAAGATGTAAGTGTGTATATATGTATATAAAAACATAATTATATTTACCAGACCAAAGGCACTGATTATGTTTGTTTTCACAAGGACCACTTCTAGAGCAAAAGGATTTCAGTCCCAATGGCATGCAATACATTATTTTTCTCAATTACTAGTCTTAACTTTAAAAAGATGAACAATGAAATGCAGAGTCTTGCTATATTGACAGCAAAAAGCAGAGGATTGGCAGTGTAGCTAGTTCTTGGAAAAAGCTTTCCTATCTTGAATCAGAGAAAGGAAAGCCAAAAGAACCAACATGACTATTTGCCTCACTAGCTGCAATCTCATGCTTTGAAAACAGCATTTAGAAAAAAAGGTAATAGGGCATAGAAACAAACTCTATAACATTATTTGCAACAGAAAATTGAACTAGAAAGCTTGATTATATGTCACTTCGCATCAACACCTGCTACCATAATTAGAGAATCAGTCATCATCTTTACAAAAACCAAAGAAATGCCTATCAGCAATAATCAGCAAAATCATAACAATGCAAAGTAATTTGGGAAAAAAACCAACCAAGCCAAACCCCCAAGCTTCTGTATTTAATTAAAAAGAAGTGATTTATTCACAACCAAAGGATAAAAACACAAAACCATCATATACGTAGAACTAATATTGTGGAATAAGGACTGAAAAGACAAGATTAGGTGGGTTGTACACCTAATGTGCAAACATAGATTTTAGTATGAGTAATGCTGAAAAGACTACACTACAGAAACAGCTGACAGTTCCAGTTGATGTAGTATCAACAAGTTGAAAAAAAAATTTGAAAGATAGTCTGGAAAACACACTGGTGAAAATGCTTCCTCACGGCAGGTAAGGGATACCATTTTCCACCCCAGACCTGGGGGAAACCTCTCATCTCTCTTGTCTGCTCCTTAAGAAGGAAGAAGACTCTGTTGGTTGTGTTATTTCAGGAATGGGGCAAGGTCACAGGAGATGTGTATTATAGTGCACATTATCCTCCAAGACATCTTAATTTCATGTTGCCAGACCTCATTGTATTGTATTGTATGAGGAATTACTTTGCAGTCAATATTGACTATACCACCAAGATCAGCAAATTGATAAGTTCTCAAAAGCTGGATACATCCAGAAGAAGAAAGATACAAGTGATATGTATATTAACACATTCCAAGACGGGACAGAGAACCCTGATGTCACTTGAACTTAGAATAAGCAATGAATAGGTGAAATATTTCCTATGGGCATGCACTGTAATGAGAGTGGACAATTTACTCGTCTCAATTTGATTTATAAATTTCCACAAAAAATACACTAAACATAATGAATTATAGTTCATTAAACACCGCTACAGCAAAGGGATTAGGTTAAACCGAAGTTGCTAGAATTAACCACACTTCTTCCTTTTTTTCCTTCTGATTTCTTTTTCTCTTCAAAGTCCACTGCAGAAAAATATTCACTAAATTCCTGTTTACTAACTAAAAACCTGATTTATAAGACCCGTTCATGTACAAAAACGTTCTTTTCATTCTGTGACAAAAAAATGGCCAAATCCTTAAGGAGAAACATCCTGTTTTCTCCATGGGAAGCTTAATGAAAGACATCGAAAGGCTTTCTATTCTAAAGCAAAGATTTATGGAAACACAGGGTGATACGCTAGAGACAGGTAGTTCCTTAAAGAGAGGACACTTGGATCTCTTGGGTTATGCACAGTAAACAGAAAGACCTTTTGATCTCTCTCTCCGACCTTGCAAGGTTGGTCCTTTCCTCACAAGGTTTCTCTCCTGCCTAGCAACTTCCAGCGGCATCCCGAGGGACAGGCAGAATCTATGGCAGGTAGAAGTAGGTAACCCCTGAGGGCTGGCTGTCCCGCTGCCCCCTGCTCTCGCAGGTGCTCCTGCAGCGGCAGGCTGCACGCCCCAGCCCAGGGGTAATGTCCTTTTCTGTCCCACTGGGCTGCCAGAAGTTGCTCCCAGCTCAGCATCTTTCTTTGCTCTCAGACAGGTTCTCCCCCTGGTTTGGAGGACGCCAGAAAATAAATATTCTGCTCCCTTCTCATAGATGTTTTTAAGCAAAACATGCTCTGCAAGACATGGTCTACAAAATAAACAAAGCAGTTATGCTATCTTCTACTATACCCATGTTCACCTGTCCATATTCCACATCCTCCAACAAAATACATCAGGTAGTACTAGTGTTAGGCAACTGAATACTGTTTCATTCTCAAGAACTGAAAATTACATAGCCAGAGTTGTAAATTTTTCAGCAGTGAGTGGTGGATCTGAAGGCAAGGGCAATTACCTTAAGTTTCTTCCACTGTTTGTTCTAGGAAAACAAGGTCTAAATTTAGCCTAGAACATCACCTTTCTACTCTGGATTTCATTAAGATCTACTGCATAGAAAGGCCTGTACTTGACAGCAAGCCTATGAGTTTTGTAGTGGCACAGGAACATGGTATGACACGATTCAGGCGAAACGGTGAACTTCTAATTGTTCTCTGCTTTTTTGTATATTAATCCATTAGGAACTCAAATTATACTATATTACCTTCGTGATTAACGAGTCCTTCACATAACTCTTACACCAAAATTGCCTGGATATGAATTTGCAGATTTGGCTCTCTTGAGTTGCAGAGAACAGCCTGCCAGCTCTTCTTGGTGTATTAGGTTTTCTGATTTGTATTTCTCTAAATACTACTTAGCTAGCCTAACAGCTCTCAAGAATGGTTCTCACTTTAACCTCATTTTTGCTTATTTTTGTGACTGCTATCAATGCCTAAGGAGTCAGATCTCAGCCTAATATATGGAGAAAACAAAACATTTAGAGAGCATTCTGGTAAGTAAATCTTTATAAATTGAAAGATCATGATTCTAGCAGACATAAAAAACATATCTGAAACAATGCCAGAACTCTTAGTGGTTACCTTTGAAAACTCTGAAAGGATAAACAAAGTACCAGGAGATTAGAAAAATTAAGTTGAAGCACCCATCTTTAAAGGCATGAAAAGAATATGTGCCAATGATGTCACACCTTTTGCAAAAAACGAAGAGCATATAATACATACAGAAGATGATGTTATAGCAGGAATGACATACAGGTTCAACAAGAACAGCATACTTAGTTTTGGACACTACTCTTCAAGAAAGACAAACTGAAGAGTCCACATGAGAAGACCAAATCATCAGAGGACAGAAACACGATTGACAAGGTAAGACTGAGTAAGCTGGACAAGACAAATGAAGTTTGCACAGCTAAAACACAGTTAATGCAGTGTTCAGATGCTATGAAGATGTGTAGAGTGTGAGAACCTGTATAGTACAGAAAACAGCATAGATATTAAAACTTAATACATAAAAAAAAAAAAAGCTTACATTTCTGAATAATGCTTATCAGCTATTCCCTCTTTGACCACTGATCTACGCATGGCTGAACAAAATAATTCTCACAATTTCCAGCAGAGGAAAAGTAAGTGTAAATACTTTTAACATTAGACATTTTACGAAGTAGACAATTGTGATTTCTTTGTCCCAAAATATTAGTCTGAAGGCAATGAAGCATGGCATTATTCTTGTCAAGTAACACATTGTACAACTGAATAACTCTGCCATCCTATCGTCACATTAACTTTGGTTTTGAACATAGGACAACAATATTTTAAAAACAGATTAATAACCATCTTCACTTAGAAAACAGTTAGGTGTGTAGTGCTTATCACTACAGAACTGATATTATTCCGTGAGTTCATTGAAAAGGCAAAGTCTATTTCTTTTGCTTTTCTCAGAAACACAATATTGTTGATTTATTCTCCACGTTGCATTTTACATAAGTCTACAGGGAGAACAACAGACAAGTGATTTGTCACATGCAGGTGAGAAATGAAATAAGTGTGTTTTCTGTCCCATAATATAAAACCCCCTATATAGTATCTCAGACTAAACAGAAGTACAAAGTGGAGATTCTCTCTCCCACCAGAAGTTATTTAATAACAAAGCTACAAATAACTATCTGAAAAATATTTTGTCATATAAATGTAATATTTTCAGTACAGATTTATTTTTTTCCTGTCAGTTAAAGAGTACTTGGAAAAAAGTCAGCAACTGGCAAATTCCTGTGATGATGACTTAATTCCCTGTATTTTCTTGGTAAATTTAGAGAAATTAAAGAGACTTCAGTTGGAATCATGAGACCAAGCTTGCAAACAAATAATCTTTCCTTCTGCAATACTGTTTTAGGCTTTACCTCATTCCAGCTTTTTTCATCATTACACCTTGAGGAATCGGAACTGATTTATCTGTGCGGTTGCTGTTAGATTGTTTTGTCTGAATACAGTATTTTTAGTTGTACTCAAAATGAGTTGAGTGGCAGTGGCTCCCTAGCATTAAATTCTCAGTGCCACATGGTGGAGTAAGAAGCACACAGAACTTGTATTCAAAAAATGATCCAAAGGAGAAGTTGAACAGCACATAACTCCCCTTTCTTTCTGTCAACTTTCTGAATAAACTAAACCGATCATTTAATTTAAAAAGAGGAGCTAAATAGAATTTTTTCTCAGATTCATTTCTGACCAGCTGAACCGAAGATTATTGCTCCTACCAAAGCTCTAAATGGATTTGAAGTTTTGAAGTTTACACACAGAGCTCCCAAACCCTCAACAGCTTTCTGATTATAAATTCTCCCGTATGTTCTTTTCGAAATGTGATACATATTGCTGAACAGTTTGCTAAATCCCTCAGCATGGATAAGCTGACCCCTGCCCAGAAACCACCACCATTGACTGAAAGATTCCCATTCCAGCTGTGCAGACACTATAGTAGGCTATCTTATATGAATGAACTGTTTTCTGCTCTACAAAAGAGCTGTGCCAGCAGAGGCTCCGCAGGCGATGTGGCCATTCAGTATGCGCCCATTCTGCTACCAGCTGGCGTTGCCATTCACTAAAGGAATGACTCAGGATATTTACCCGCATAAAACTGATTGTTTATTTCCTTTCCCTCTAAGGATTTTAAAGAACTTCACAACCAAACTTCAGAGAACTTCAGTATTCGCTTTAGTTCAGTTGAATTCAGTTGTTAATTAAGTTTTTTTCATTAGGTCCCACTGGCATCTTAAAATAAAAACATGAAAGGGAAAAACACAGCAGCCTCTATGCTGGTTTCCCACAGTGGATATAGTATAATCAGGTGAACTTGACATCAGACAATAAAATCTCAAGAACAAAAACAAGTTCTGCAAAAGCATTGAGCTGAAATTTTCCCATGAAAGTGTGCTAATTAACGTCGGTTGAGTTTTATGCTGCTTCTGGTGTTGAAGTTCTGAATTACTTCCTTTTACACAGTCTGTGATCATTGCCAATATTGTACCTGAGGACACACATAAACCAGAAGTGTCCATGGGAGATATGAAGCACCACTGAAAATTGCTACAAGGTAACGGTCCAAATACACCAGAAAAAAAATCACACTTTCATATAAAATTTTTGTTAATGTGTTAGAGTTATATAATTACAAAATGAGAAATTAAACTGATAAAACTTTAACAAATGCTGATTTGTATCCTATTTCATAAAAAAGTTGTTTACATTATTCACATTGCAAGGAAGGAGAAAAATAATTCAGGAGAGCCAGTGAATACCTAACATAGCTTAGGATTCAAACTGGAACAATAATTCATCTGAATGATCCTATTCTTATACTGATGTACTTTAGAAGCAAATAAATTAGAATCAGTTTCAAAATAAGACTGAATGCAAATACAATGCTGTTTTCTAAATATAACCTTTTAAAATCAGTCACACACACATAAAAATACCTGTATGCGCCTACAAACACACTTGCACTAGAAAAGCAACTGAAAGGTAAATCTATCTACATTTTAATTCAAAAGATACAGAAACTTTTATTTTTAAAGGACATAAAACATGATTTTCAGGGCTACATATATTCAGCTCTGAATATATTTAAGATCATCTAAGCTACTCCATACAAGACAGTCATTTTTTTACAGTGATTTAAAACTCTACAGGCATGCCAGAAAAAACACAATTGAATGCCTCTTCTAAAATCATTATAAAGCATTTGTTTTCAATTTCACTGTAGCTTTTTTTGTTTGGTTGTTTTTTTTGTAACCCGACTTCCTAAATTTAGGTGGAATTTACAGAAAAGTTGCTGTATATAATATTGTACACTGTTAATAATTTTATACCAGAGATATTTGTTTTATTTAATTTGTATTTTTACCATTTTAATGGTGCAGTAAAGCAGATGTTATAGAAGTAACAGTGAAAGAATAGAAATGAGAATTAGATGTACGATTTTATTTCAAAGGCTCAATAAACCATTTCTAAAGAATGGGAAAAGCTGTTTCAGTTGAACTTACATGAGCTGTAAAAACTGAAGTATAAGTACATTTATGTCCACATCATGAAATAATCAGCAATGTTGTCTATGGTTCAATAATTTAGTAACAATCCCTAGGCCACATAATCAACTTTGTAAGAGAGCCATCTAACAGTAGTGAAGATGATGAGTTTCTTCTTTCTAGGATGGGAACTGGATTTTAAAGACTCACATTGTCTACCTTTGTCATTTTGAAGTTACTGCATAGCCTCCCATGACATTTATAGTTCTTTACATCTTCTGGACAGGTATATAATATAAAACAGAAGGAAAATATGACTTTATTAGAAAATTAGCTTGAACTTCTCAAAGTAATCCTACCTAAAATTTACTTGCACTTTCATAATGATCATGTTGCACACAACCATTATTAATAGGAGGCTGAGGGACAATCAAACACTCTTTGGTTGATTGAGAAAACCAGTAAGCACATCAGTTCAAGCTGTATATAACGTACCTGTGCTTCCTGAGGGACCTGTGCAGCATCAACTCTGTCTGCTATGTAGGTTGTTAGCTGTTTGTCAATAGCAGCAAGAGACTCTTGGATTAAGCGGAGGGTTTTGTCAGTCTCCTGGGCAGACTGAATACTCTGTTCAAGACTTTTTTGTCTTCTCACAGCCTAAAAACAATGACAACTTTATCAACATTCACAGTAATAATGCATATAATACATTCCCCCCCCCCCCCCTTTTTTTTTCAAAAAATGCAGGCAAAGAACCAAAAATACTGCTCCTGACTTGTGTTCATCCACCTTTTTGTATGATAAGTTGCGCATCTTTTTGCCACCCATTCAGTTCTTTTTAGTGAGAAACAAACAAAGAAACCCCCAGATCTAAAAGAACGCAGGAGCCTGAAAAACCAATGCATGCGTTAAGGATTTCTATAGAGAGTGGAAGTTGGCAAAGCTGCATAATAAAACCATCCTGATAGCGCAGTCTTTCATTCTGAGGCATAGCGGTCCTCCTGGTCTTATTATATAGTTCAAGAGATTTTGTTTGCTGAGAATAGGGTTACTGTCATCACAATCCCATCCGAGACAATCCACTTCAGTAAGTGAGAGGGATAAAGACTCTCTTGAGAAGGAGCTCTCTTATTTGAAGTATAAATAGCTGTCTGGAACCAAGGCAATGCCTACTCTGGAAAAAAAAGAGATGGATCCTTGTCTTGTCTTGTCTGTGGATTTGCCCAATCTGTTATCACACTAAGCATAGTCTCTTTTACTCTAAGAAGTTGACTCTTGCTTCTACTCCACCATCAGTGCCACAGTGGATCGCCTACCACCACGTTTTCTACAATCCTTTTTTTGAGAAGGATGCTTTCCTTTCAAAGGAGCTTCCTTTATCGTTCAACAAATCAGACCAATAAATTCTCCTTCCAAGTTGTCCTTAAAACACACGTATATTTAAACACTTGACATAAACAAGGTAGCTTTAACTATTATTTGTAACAGTTTAATATGGTATTTACCAGGTAATAAATAACCTGGCACTTTCTTCCATTTGTCATTTTGTCCACCTGCGGACTCATATGTTACTTAGACTACAGCTTCTGCCTAGCAGAATTTCTGCTTTATGCAAAGCACATAGTAACTACCAACAATCTCAAATGCAATACAGTTTTTCTCTGTACAAGCTCAGCCATACTGCTGACCACAGAATAAAGTGACTTTCTTTGACATGAATCAAAGGAGGAGGGAGAAAGCAAGCACTCTTTAAATAACATTGCTAGGTGTCCTGCCATTTTTCAAGCCAAATCACCCTTTTTCTCTTTGGTGAGCCAGCTATACTTTAATTTGATTTCATAGCTATTATGAAACTCTTGCCTTGAACAAAAATATCTCTCAGCAACTCAGTGAGAATTCTTGATATATCTCTACCTTCTTCATGGAGCTCAGATTCTTACAGAGCTTCACATTTACCAAATGAAAAAGATTATTTTTTGCAAGTATTCTGGCTAGCTGTTTGAGTTAGTTAAAGGACAGGGATCCAAACAGTATTTACTATATTTGTGTTTGTAAGCTGCTTTGTGCTATTTCAAAACAGCTGATCAGGTAATCTTGTATCACTGCCAATTTCAGGAACCGTCTGTGGAACTGAGCAGCTTTACATATTGGACCCATGCTGGCAGTGTTAATGGAAGCACCTGAGCCACTAAGGTATTCTTACCCCACCAGATGAATCATTAAAACTGTGTAACTTCCCAGTACAGTACTAAGACTTGCTATTTAAATGACTTTTACCTTCATCTGATTTGAGAATGTGTATTACAACATTGGAGGGCTTTACAAAAAGGGACCACACCCTTACATCTGTGATCCTGAGTTTCAAATTTGTCCTTAAAACTCATATGTCAGTGCATGTGAAAATCTATATATGCATATTATTACAAGGCATGTGAAAGTGGAAATTTTATAGATCTATACTACAAAAATATTTTAATCTGTCATGTTCTGTCTTGGGGGGGTGGTGGTTTGGGGGCTTGGGTTTTTTTTCTCTGAAAGATTATGGTTGTTCTGTTCCTCTGTGGAAGAAATAGATGGTTTAACATCGCACTGTATAAATGGGTCTGAGGACGTAACAGGAAGCTCTAGCTCTGCTATCAGATCATAGTCCATAAAGCTGAAGGCTTTGGTCTCTAAAGGGAAGTGTCTGACAGTTAATTGCTAAATAGGAAATCTCAGGAAAATAACCAACTGTTTAATTATTTCTAAGCCAGTGAAATGTTGACAGCTGTCAAGGAAAATAAAAACAAACAAAAAATCTCCTGTTAGGCACTATCAGAATGAAATGAGAACAGAAAACATATCTATGGACTGAATTTTTTATTAAAGTCTCTACAGGTTTTCATAGATTTTTAGTTATTTTTTATGATTAAGCATAGCATTTAATTTCTATGTTATGGGGTATGGCATAAATCTGTTTAAGAACAATGGTAAATGCAGGAAATGGTAACACTGCATATTATCCATATAAAATGCCACATTAAGAGAAAGGCTGCATTGCGAGGTGATCAAATATCAGGAAAGCTGGAGGCGCTCAGTTACTTATGACTGTAGCTCATTCTTTGATGTTGAATTTTATAAAGCTATAGTTACAGACGTTGCCACTTTTTGCTTAAATACTACCTTTCATGTATTTAATGACATTAGTCATACATGCAGTTACCAAGATGCTGGCTACTGTTTTATGGTGAAAACCGAGTAGAGTTTTGTTGTTAAGGCAGTACTCAGTAGTCGTGCTGTGGGAGAAAACCTGAACAAAACCTTTCCGAAATTATAGTACTTTTACTACAGGGTGTATGTATTTATAATGCAGAAGCAAATTAATTAGTTAGCTTATAAGTTACAGCTCATGGAAAGGGGTCTGTTAAAAAAGGGCTCTTTTTTTTTTGGTTCAGTTGTAGTCTCTAATTATTGAGAAATGTTACCACAGTGTAAAGTTAAAAAGTAAGAAGTTAGAAAACTTTAAATTTCCTTCTTAACTTGTTTAAATTACTTTAAAATTTAACCCAAATTCTTGGTGTTGTAACAGTTGTGTCTGAGATATATTACAATATCTCTGTACATTTTGCATCAAATGGTTAATGTGTTAATATCTGCTGTCTTTTTCAATCAGAGTGGATTAGTGTTTAAATATAGTGTCTAGTCAGGCAAACTAGAAACACCTTTTCTAACATTCAAGGCACTCATTTTGGGTCCAGGAATTTTTAATACCCTCCAAGCTGGAACTGATTCTTCTACTGCAAATTCTAGTAATTTTTCACAGTGTGTTTTTAACATAAGTGGCTACAAATATTTGACCTTTCAACCCCAAAGTGACTTTCATATTTGATCAGCTGTATTCCAAATCTGCAAACTATACAAAGGAGAATTTCTTTCTCTCTTTAGGTTACCGCTGCAGACAGATAGTGCCTCAGAGCTTGTAAAAGCAGCCCCCTTAGCAGCCTTAAAAGCAATCATGTGGAGATGGGGCATGAAGAATTCTTTCTCCTCTTGAGAAGAGAACAAAACAGAAAAATTGTGTGAAATGATGAATGTGTGCTCTTTGAAAGAAGCAAAGGGTAATCTGGAGGGGAGTCCTATAAGAAACTAAGAGACAGTCCCCAAGAATGAAAATTGAATCTAGTGTAAAGCCCATCTGAACAGTAATTTTATACAGTTTTTTGCAAGCATAGTCTCAAGGATACCTAGCTGACAGTTTTGAAGTTTGCTGGACAGGATGTTAATCACTTTCAGCACTACAGGGGATGATAGCCACTTGCAATATTAGCCCAAAGTTCTTCAGACAACAGTGGTTTTTAGGACCAATATATAGAGTTGTAAGTGAATTAGTCCTTGAAAAGTAAAGATAGGGTATATGTCGCTTATCGATCAGCCCAGATGTTCAACAGTAAGCTAAACACACTCAGTCTTTGTTAACTAAAGAAGATAAGGCATACAAACATAAAGCTGTTATCTGCCTTTAAAAATGAATCTCTATCTCAGTAGCAATGCTGTATTGTCTTGCAGCATCATTCATATGGCAGTGGTTTGGTTTGGTTGCTCTATTAGTAGTGAATAAATATTTCATGTATCAGTTTCTGCCCACGTGAGCTTATTGTCTTGATAATTACCTGCACAATTATTTAAATAAAAATAAATAACTTAACCACATTAGGATAGCCTATTAGTCTGTCTGAAGTAGAAGTGACCTTGAACACAAGCTGAATAGTGTTATGTGCCTGCAATGTATTTTTATGCAAGGAGAGTGCATGTTGTTTGGATTTCAACAGGGCTACACAATCAGCACAGAAAATTCAGTGCCAGGAATCTATGAAAAAAGGGTGTGAGACTTCAGTGGAAAAATTTATAAAACATTTTGTTGTAGAAAACATACAGTAAAGAAGTGGCATGACTGAGTCACTTGTGATTGAAATAGTTTCTTTACAGCTCTTATATTCATATACAGATCTCACCGTTAGTGTTTGACTACTAAATATCAGATCAAGCTTTCAAAGAAGGGGGAGGGCTTCCCTCTCCAGCTTTTTGCCTATATTTAAATTAAAATGGAAAGCAGTGAATACATTTCTAATAGATTTTGCTTATATACTCATCCAAATTGTTTCCAGAATATCACACAATATCTTCATGTTGTACTTTCCACATTTAACCCCTGCAGCTGGCATGAATTTTGATTTAATGCCTATTATTGTGAAGACTGAATAGTATTCTTCCATCACTCAGTAAGATTATTTGAAAGTCCTGTTTTCACACACTGGAAGCTCTCTGTATATTCCCAGTTTTCTCCTCCAAGTCAAGAAAAAACCAACAGATACCAAGTAGCAGAATCCCAGGGAATGTATCTGCTTTCAAACAGAAGTTAGATGAGAGAAAAAAAAAAAAAAAAAAACCCAACAGGTATACAGAAGGTTATGTCTACTTTTCCATTATGACACTGTCCAGCAATATGGGACTACATGAATGCCTGCACTGCACCAGAACTACCACCAGACAGTTAGTAGAGGCAACCAGGCTCTTTACCTCCCCAACCTTCAAGTTTAAGCTCAGAACAGCTGAGGACCCTTCCTTAAATTTTATTGTAGTGTTTTCACTTCCACTGTTTTCAAGAACGAGTACATTTCAAGCGCCATGAAAGAAGCAAAAATGTTACCATTGTCATGGTAGATTGTTACCATTCTAACACAGCTGCTTTCCAAAAATCTCTACTTGTGCATCGTTTCTGTCATTTAAACTGAGTAACTTTTGAATGTCTTTGTAGCTCATCTTTGAACATGTTCTGGTTCCCGTCATAAAGAGGGTCTCTGTGTGCTTTGCTAGGTCTTTCTCTAATAATTCCTTTCTGATCTTTACCAAGTACTGAGCTGACATCTTCCTGATATTTCTATTCATAACTCCAAGATCTTCCTACAGAAACAGTCAGCTCAAAAGTTACAATTTCATATATGAAGTCAGAAGTCCTCCATGAGTATCACTTTTCACGTATTTGCACTGAATACTTCTGTAATTTAACTGCCTTGTTACTCTGTCCTGTAAGGTTGTTCTGCATTTATTTAGAGTTTGTCCCCATCTTTGTTATTAGTACACTACTAGTAGTTGAACTATTTCCTTACATATCCTTTGGTTGTCTTAAAATTCTTTGGTGAAATTTTTTTGGTCCTGCCATCATACACATACACACACAGTTGTATTAGTATGCACACAAACGTATGTTAAATAAACTCCTAGTATTAAAAGTAAATATTCATGCACAAGTATCACAGTTTTGAATTGATTTACCAGCAAAAAAAGTACAATGTCCCTCCCACTAGTGGGATCTGTTAAAGAATTAGTAAAATTTTCTTCATGGTATCTGTGGCAAAGATTGCTAATTTAGCATATTGCTCAATTTGATTCTCCTTGTGCTCAACACATTTCTATATTGAAGTGCCTTTATAAAATCTTTCATTAATACAAAGACTCCTATTTATTGTTTAGCAAAGAATATATCTGTAAGAGAATGTTACTCATATGTAACTTTGAAAATAGTTTGCTTCTCAGTAAGAGTTTTGTCAGAGAAAGCATCTCTAAATATGCATTTGAAGATTAAGTCCATTAGATGGTCACTTCAATTTTGGAATTTCAGGGTTACCTATTGTACTGGTTTTGGCTGGGATGGAGTTAAGTTTCTTCACAGCAGCCTGTGTGTGCTCTGTTTTAGATTGGTGACCAAACCAGTCTCGATAACACAGGGATGTTTTAGCATTGCTGACCAGTGCTTGCACAGTGCCAAGGCCTTCCCTTCCTCACTCTGCCCCTCCCAGTGAGTAGGCTGGGGTAGGCAAGAGGCTGGGAAGGGACACGGCCAGGACAGCTGACCTGAAGTGACCAAAGGGATATTCTGTACCACACAGAGTCATGCTCAGCAATAAAAGGCAGGGCGGGGAGGAAGTTTTTCCAAAATTGACATTGCTCGGGGACTGGCTGGGCATTAGTGTCCTGGTGGTGAGCAATTGGTTTTGCATCACTTGCTTTTTCCCTTTTTTTTCTTTCACTTATTAAATTGTCTTTATCTCAATCCACGAGTTTTCTTGTGTTTCCCTTTCCAATACTCTCCCCCAGTGCACTAGCAGACGTGAGGAGGGAGTGAGCAGCTATGTGGTGCTTTGCTACCTGCCGGAGTTAGCCCACCACATCTACACAAACTGTCCACTTCTAAAATAACTCTTTGTGTACTGTTTAGGAACTATACCAACAAAATAACTTTTTTTTTTTTTTTTTTTAA